GGGACATAAAAGAAAATAAGGCAGGTAAGGCAACAGGAAATGACCCAGAGGGGCTTTTTTAGAAAAGAATAATCAGGGAGGGCTTCTCTGAGGAGGTGGCATTTGATCCTAGAGTAAAAGCTGTAAAGGCATGAGTCGTGTGAACACCTGGGCAAAGAGGATTCCAAAGAGAAAGAACAGCAAGTGCAAAGGCCCTGAGGTGGGCACAGGCTTGGCACTTGACATTTGAGGATGAGCAAGGAGCCCAACATGACCGGGGGCACTGGGGAGAGGGTTGATGCAATGAAGTCAGAGAGGGCCCAGAACACAAGATCAACAGGACCTTATGGACCACAGTGTGGACAGGGAAATGAGGGGCCACTGAAGGGTTTGAGCACAGCACAGGCAGGGACTCATCACCCGAGAAACCTGAGACCTAGAAGAATAGCCACTTGCCAAGGCCACAGCAGCTCACAGCAGCAAGTCCCCTGACAAGGCAAGCTGTCTCATCAGCCCTTGAGCCCCCTGCTCAGCCCAGAAAACTCCCCGCCCTGACCTTTCTCCTCTCCCAGAGCCAGGGGACCAGCCACCAGGTTCATGCTTGCCTGGGTCTCCTGCACCCAGCAGGCCCTCACAACCATGCAGACCCCAGGCTTCTCCTCCCCACCCCCACATGCCACCACCATCTCTAGTTTTCCAGCACAAGACCCAAATGGGCAAGTGTCTTTGTTTGCAGACACTATTATTGTGGGCTTTGCCGCCAATACTGCTTCTTCCGCTCTCCTCCCTCTTCCTGTCCCCCCAACAACCCAACACTGCACTGGAAAGCAGGGGCCACTGGCATAGCCCCATCAACACCCAAACTCTGCACCACATGAACGTAACTGTGGTTGGTGGGGACACTTTCATCCCGAGTCTGCACCAAGGTCAGACACTGAAAAGGGGCAGTGAGTGACACCTGAGAAGCAATCCCCTCCACAGGCTTAGGAATCAGGTCAAGGCTCCAATCTTTATTTCTATACTTAAACCTAAAAATAAGCCTGCAGCAATGGCAGAGTTTTTACTAGAAGTCATGGCCCCGACCAGGAAACAGATCCAGGGGCTAGCTTGTGTCACCATAAGGAGCAGAGGGCAAGTGTGAGGGACTGGGTGGAACACAGATCTCCTGGTTCCCATGCAGGTGGCCCAGCCTGGGGAGAGCAGCTGCTGGAGGTCTCCTAGGATTCACCATCATCACAGCCGAAGGGCAGCCAGTGCCTTCTCAGGAGAACTGAGAGCCTTAACTAGACACCACAGCCTGCCTGTCAGTGTGGCTCAGCCCCAAATGGCATGGGCTGGCATTTCCCAATTACCACAGATAATATCTACCTTAATTGAATGGGTTCCAGATAATGTCATTATACACTTCGTTCCCCAATATATTTAATATACGTGTGTACACATATATTTATGCCTCACTGCTGCCACGAGATTGCTAAATGGTGAAGTTAATAATAAAACATTTCAACGGGAGTCATCAGCTTTAATTTAAGGGGTGATTTTTACTATCCTTGTGGTGCTCGTTTTTCCAAGGAGCCAAGAGAAACACGGACAGACTGGAGCAGTCTCTTGGGCCTGTGGGATGGGGTGGGCGGGGGGAGGTGGGCAGGGCCACAGGGTGGGCTGGCTGCCAGGTAGCAGGCTTCCTCTCTTCTAAGCAAGTTCCACTGACATGCCTCCCTTTCAGGAACAGGCTCAGGCAAGGCAAGCCAGGTAGAGGGAGAAGCAGGAAACTGAGGTGGAAGCCCCCAGGGTGGGCAGGGAGAAGGAAGTGGTTGTGAAGGAGAAGCTACCAGCCTCAGGTTCATCTAGGAGGCAGCAGAGAGAGGGAAGCCAGAGACAGTACGCAGAGAGGAGAGAGACGGACAGCTCACAGGACAAAGAAAAAGCAGCCTGCACTCTACAAGGACCAAAGGCAGCAAAACCTCCACCTTAATTTTTTATAGTTCCCTGCTAACTAGGGCAGAGGTGACACTTAAGAAAATGAGCCCTCTCTGTTCTTTCCAGGAGCCATCAGGCTAAGTGGGAGTGACAGAGAGCTGATGTCCACTGCTCCAGGCCCATTGCCTACCAGTGCAAGCCCCGTTAGGCCCGCCAAGACAGCCAGCAGCTCTTCTGCAGCTCCAGTGAGTGGGGCTGGAGCTCCGATGCCAGCTCCCCGCATGCCTTCTCCAGGAGGCAAAGGCGGCTGCCACTCTGCAGAAGTGAGATAACCTTCCAGCCAGCAGCCGGCAGGCTCAGCTGCACAGGCTGCCAGTGCGGCCTGCCTACTGGAAAGTTGGGTTCTAGGCCAAGCAGAGGAGGACAGTGGGGTGGGCAGATATCTTGGGGTGGGTGGTAATTAGCAGCTGCTGGCTCCACACTTGTCTAGGAGAGAGGACACATCTACCGGCTATAATTATTCAGCTCAGGAGCCTTTGGGTTCTGCTCCCATCTTTGGCTGCCAACTGTCCCCTTGCTGCAGGGCAGGTATGGGTGTGGCCACCCATCCTGGCACTGGACTGTGGGCCCCTCATGAACCAACTGGGGGCTGCAGAGCCCTCTTGGGCCTGAGCCCGGCCCCCTGACCCTTCTGGCTAACACACCGTTCAGTCCCAGGCTCACAGACTCGCTCGCTCGCTCGCTCTCTCACCTACCTCGAGCTGCCTGCTGCTGTGCAAGGCGCTCCCTCTCAGAGACGTCACGCCTCCAATGGAATGAAGCCGCCCAGACGCAGGTCGGAGGAGGAGGGAGGGGGGAGGGAGGAGGAGCAGCCTACGCAAGGCCACTGAGGCCCAGAAAGCAGCTCAACTCCTGACATGCTCCCGCCTCCCCTCCGCCTGCTCAGGACCCGTGCTTAGTGACAAGCTACATGCCCCCCCATATATCTTGCTCCTGAAAATGCTGAGAATCCATGAGTAGAGTAGAGCACTCCTTTGGGTTAAGCATTGCCATCTTCCTCTCCCGTCTTTCTTAAATGCAGATGCCCCGGGAAAGGATAGTCTCTAAAGTGGCTAAGGTGCAGGGTGTGGAGGGAATAACTTTTGGGGTATTTTTGTCCCTGACAGGTGCGAAGGTATTGACAGGTAGGCAAAAGCTTATGTGTAAAAGGACAGAAGTTGGAGGAACATGAAGACAGTGGCCATCCAATTCACGAGGAGACATCGTGCCCAGCCCAGGGCTGAGCAGAGGCTCCGAAGAGCCATCTTCAAAGCCCCCACTCACCCCACCCCAAGGACAGGATCTGACTAAGGGCTGGTGAGGCCCTCCAGGAAGTGGGAGGGGACAAGGCTCCAACCTCCACTCTACATTGCAGTCAGGTCCACTTCCAGGGCAGGTTCACCAGTCCCCAGAGCTCCCCAAGAAGATGTGATAAGGCCCCTGCACTGGGGGTGATCCCACCTCGGAGTGCCCAGAGGCCTCTGCGGGAGTTGTGCCACCTCCGGAAAGGCTCCTGCTAGTCCTCCCCTCTTCATAGAAGCTTCCCCCTACCTCAGGCAGGAAGGCCCCCAGGCCCTTCTGGGATCAGAGGAGCTGAGCGTGCAGACCTGAGGCCCAGCATCCCATCGGGATCCAGGAGAAAGTGGGGAGCACAGGACACATCCAGGGAATGTAGTGAGATGGGAATGAGGGCATTCTTCACCTCCACCAAGGGCTGGCCCCGGGGCGGGTGGCTGCGCTACAGAATGGCAGGGTGTGGGATGAGGTGCTCTGCACGGAGACTCTGGGAGCCCTGACCTCCCCACCTGCCCTAAGCCCCCACTCTCACCCCAGAACGGACAAGGCGAGGGACTATGATGGGAATACACACGCCCCTCCCTCCCTGTCACCTCGGCCTTTCTGCCAGATTGACACAGGGGCAGCCACCTCTCTGACAGACATGTGGCTTCGGGCACCCAACTAGGCAAGCCAAGCTCAGTCGGTGTCCGGAAAGGCCGGCGTTCTCCCGCGCCAGGGGCCAGAATGGTGCCGAGAGGGGAGAAAGAAGCAAGGGGCCTCCTCCAAAAGGGACTGAAAGTCTGAGGGAGGGATGTCACTCGGGGCCTAGGGGCAGGGGGCGCTCGTACGTTCGGGCTTCAGGACTCCCTGCCGCCGCTGATGCTGCTGCTGCCCCATCTCAGCACAAACAGCCTCAGACCGCCCTGGTGCGGGGGCGCCTCTCGCAGTCGGGGCCTCCACCTCCCGGCCCCGCCCCCGCGCGGGGAGGAGACGCTTCCCACCTGCGAGCGCCGTGGAAGACCGACCCCGGAGCGGGGACCCCCGGCACACACGCGCGAGCACACAGAGACCACGGCCGGTCCGCTGGCCGGGCGGCCGCGTAGACTCGCGGGTTCATCAGGGTCCCGGGAGGGGACGGTCCCGCCTGTCCGGAGAGACCCTGACCCTGAAGTCCTAGGGTTGCGGGGAGACCCCAGACCCTGGGGGCCGCCCCGACCGGCCAAGGCCACGGGCAAGCGGTTGCCAGGCTCTGGCCGGTGGCTAAAGCGGCGCTGGGGCGGGCACGGGAGCCGGACCTGGTGCCTGGGAAAGGAGCCGAGGCGCGCGAGGTTGGGTGCCCTCCCGCCGGGAGACTGCCGGGAAGAGGCGCAAATAATCCCCGGCGCCCCCGCCTGTTCTGCCTGTCCTGCCTCTCCGCAGACCGGGATGCGCTAATGCCGCCGCCCCCATCTGAAAGCTGGCACGACCCTCCATCCAGTGGAAGCCCCCGTATACTATACAAAGACAGTACTTTCCACCGGCCCGGCAAAAAAAGCCTCTACCCCATTCCCTCCCTCAGGGACATCCGGAAAGCCTGCCCTAGCCCCGAATGGAGACCCTCTAGTTCAGGTCCCGCGCCCTCCGGCCCCTAGGGCTCCCGGGGCGCCGGCTCTCCTCCGGGCACTCCAAGCGCGGGAGCTCGCCGGAGGCCACCTCCCGAGCCCCGAGGTCCCCGCCGCAGCCAGCGCCCCAGGAGGCCGGAGGGCACGGTCCCCTCTGTCCGTCCCCCTCGGGCCACAACTCACCGCGCGCCAGCAAGGTTTAAGCCGCGGCGAGGGATCGGCTGCGTGCCCGCCTGACCCGGGGGCGCAGGCAGGCGGGCGACAGCCGGAGGCACGGTTCTCGCGGTGCCCAGAGCCCGGGCCGCGGCGACCGGTGCTGACGCTGCGGACCGAGCCCAGCGCACAGCCGCCCGGAGTCCGGGACGCAGCAGGGATGAGCTGACGGCCGCCGGGCAGGAGCCGCCACCAAGCGCGCGGCGTTCCGCTGCTGCTCAGGCGAGCCAGCAAGCGAGGAGGGAATCGGCGGCAACCCCTGCTCCAGCTGCCGCGGAGCCCGGCGTCCGAGCCGGAAGGAGCGGGCGAGGCGGCAAGGCGAGCTGGGTCTGGCCGAGAGCTCCGGGCTGGGAAGAGAGCCGAGCGGGAGCGACCGGCAAGCGCAACCGGCGGAGGTGCGGGCGCCTGGCGGCGCCGCGGCAGCGGCAGCAGCAGCAGGAAAAAAAATGAGAGCGAGCTAGAGAGCGCGCTGGAGAGCGAGCGAAAGAGGGAGCGAGAGACGAGGGAGCGAGGAAGGCGCGGAGAGGAGAGGCTGCGGGAGAGGGCGGGAGCGCCAGGAAGCGCAAGGGGGCCGGGGGCCGCAGGCGCCGAACCCCGGCGCCCGCAGCCGCTGCCGCTGCCGCACCCGAGGAGGTGCGAGCCCAGCCCAGCAAGTTTGCGATCGAAGTGCGGGCCAAGCTCATGCGATTCCGCCGGCCTTTTAAAAAGAGAGCACCTGGAGTCCACCCCCTACCCCACACCTCCACCTCCGGAAGGCCAGGGCTCTCGCGGCGCTCCGCCACCCCTCCACACCCGCCCTGCTGACAGCTCCCCTTCCACCACACCCCAATGGCGCCCTCTCCCGGAAACCCCCCCTTCCTCCTCCCCCTGTGCGTGCCTGCTCACCTACCCCGAGGACCTGGCGGGGACCCCTTCTCACCCCAGAGGGGAAGGGTCAGGAGCATAGCCTCCCCAGCACACACCCAGAAAAGTAGAGCAAAGCACAGGGATGCAGAGGGGCACCTACTCCCACCCTGGTGTGTCACTGGAACCTCACACATCCGCGCGGACGTGGCGTATGCCCCCATGTGGCATGTTCATTTGCACACCCCACTGCTCCTGGTTCAAGTATATAACAAGGGGAGAAACTGAGGCCCAGTGAGGTGACTACACTTGCCCCAGACCTCACAGCCTGTCCTGGGGACACTTTCCACAAAGCTCCCTAACACCTCAGAACCCCACCAGGCTAGGGAAACACCCCACTGGCCGGCCTTCCTCCAGCACTGGTTGGCAAAAGTGTAACAGGTGCCTGGTCGGTAGGCTGCAGTGAGACTCGGGAAGAATCCCCTAGCCAGCCATAGAGCCAGCTTGCCGCCTTCCCAGAGGGGGCTTGGAAACTCTCAGGAGCAGGCTGGTTAGAGGCAGGCAGGGGAGGAAGTGAGAGAGCCACGCAGCCCTCTTAGGATTGCAAGAGCATCTCGCCCCAGACTGCAGAAGTGGCTTCAATTAGAGCTGTGGTGTGTGACTGTCCTTGTCCTGGGGAGGGCGCACCACGCTGTGCCAGGGAGCTGGGGAAGAAGGTGGCTGGTGGCAGAGCCGGACAGGCTGGCCAGAGGCCTCCCTCCTCATCGGTACCTCAACCCCCCACTGACCTGCAGAGTGCCACTTTGGGCTTGATGCTGCCCAGACCTGGGAGGACTCCGCACCCTCATAGCCCAGTCCTAATTTCTACAGGGGAAATTAGGTGATGGGAATGTCTGGGAGGGTCTGGGAATAACAGGGAAAGAGCCCCACCCTCTGCAGCTGAACTACCCTGTCTCCCTCCTTGCCCCTTTTCAATGCTCCTGCCCCTTCCTAAAGACCTGCCAGGCCCCACCTCCTCCAGAACTCCAGACGATGCTAGCCTGAAACCACATCTCGTTCAGCATCATTCTGCCATGGAGCCTGGCACCATGCCTGAACAGTAGCGTAAGCTCAAGGAATGTTTGGTGAGTGAATAAATGTTGGCAAAGCTAGCATTCTCTTTGCTGTCACACGTAATGGGCCAAATACATGTCTCATTTACCCAATCAGTATGAAGTCTCTGAGGGAAGCACCCAGATTGTTCATTCACTCATGCCATTTTTTTTTAAATGCAAACAACTGACCGAGGTCTTGCCCCATTCCCAGCTCTGAGTGTACACATATGACTGAATGCGGTTCTGCCCTTGAGTGCACCCCGTGGCCATTCAGACCTCAGCACCACGCATTTCGTAGAGATATTAGCGAGGGCCATGAAAGTTCCTGCTGCCCGGCCACTCTGCGCAGCCAAATGCGCTCTGCTCTGGGCTTGCAGGAAACTCAGATTATTCCTGGAGAGGCCGTGTCCTTGCAGCCTGCCTGGGTTCAAACCAGACTACGTCACGTGTGTGGGGGGGGGGGGTCACACTGCCCAAGGTCCTCAGTTTTCTATCTGTAAAGCAAGGATGATGACCGCAGGCATGAGGTGCCGGCCACTCACTGCAGGAGGCCGCCCAGGTGAGGGGGCTCAGGGCAGCTCAAATTTAGCATGCCTGGTCTTGACAAGTGACACATCCTGTCTTGAGGCTGTGTCTGCCCAAAAGATGAGATCCTCTCAGAGGTACCATGTGGTCTAGCGCCTGGGCCCTACTTAGAAGGTGTTCATGAAAAGAGAATAAAATAATGTATCCACAGCACCTACTCCTGTATTTAGGCGCCTGTAAGTGGGAGCCACTGAAATTGTTAACACAGAACAGAATCCTCAATATACTATTGTTGAATGAATGAATGAATGAATGAACTAATTAAACAAGATAAGTGGGCCATGGTTTGTTGAGAGACAAAACAAACCCAGCCACTCTCCCCACCCCCTGCCCCAGTGTTGCTTTCACTCTGGCCATAATTATCCCACCCACCCCCCGCCCCCCACCAGCTGTGTCGCAGAAGGCTGGGCAGGCTATATTTTTCAGGGGTTAAAAAAAGAAACACTGTTGGCTGGCAGATGGCTGAGTTTGTGGACTCGTCCAGTTTGCAGGTTCCCAGCCTGAGGCCTAGCTCTTCTGGCAACATCCTGACCACCCCAGGCCTCCAGACCGTCACAGCACTCCAGCCCTCAGTCAGCCGACCTCACCTGCGGGCCCCTGCTTGTGCGGCTGGGGTGCCCTCTTCTCACTCTTGTTCTCTCTGCCATGCAGTGGCTGACTTGACTTGCCGTGGAGACAGACTCAGAGGCCCAAACACAGACTCACACACAGAGACACAGACTAACACACACACACACACACACACACACACACGTCAAGGAACTCCCAGGGGTGTCCCCTGCCTTGGGGGAGCTAGGGAACCACAGCTGTGGGAGAAAAGCAATCAAAAGTAACCTCAAGGAGTCATGCTTCAAGGGACCTGGCCCAGACCAGCGGCTCCAAGGCCTGATTCCTAACCGCCTCCAGCAAGCCTGCCTCCCCTCTGTGTGCCCTGACAGGGAAGGGTTGGGGTGAGGAGAAGAGGGCACAGGTCTGGAAACCGAGAAGCCCAGACCTCTGTGCTAAGAACCAGGCAATGTGGGGGAGCCCTCCAGCCTCTCTGAGCATTGGTTTTCCCATCAGTGAGACCAGGGGCTACACTAAGGTCTCCCTAAGGATGCTAGGATTCAGAACTGGGTCTCACTCTTAAACCTTTAAAAGAGGCTGGCCGCTACTGGTAGCGTAAGCAGGGGGTGAAGCTGACCCACCCATCCCTGCACCAGTCCTTGTCCGGGGGAAATGGCAACACTGGCTCTGCAGGGGAGGAGGAAGGCTGAAGGGAGGAGAGAGAGGCAGGGAGTCTTAGAAAAATAATAATACAGAGTCCTGAGCCTGTTCTTCATACCTGTGTGACCTGGAAGTTCTTCCTGAGGTCTGACCTAACTCCCTCCTGCTGCATCAGATTCTTTCTTCCTGCTCTTTCTCTGGCCTCCCCAGTGAGGAAAAACAACTCCCCACAACCTTTCGAAAGAATCCTAATAGAGGAGGACAACTGTCTTTGAAAATTCTGAAGTTTAGGATTTGTTTAAATAAATCAAAGCAAGTCTGGAGGTGCAGGTTCCCTGAGAACCGAGCCGACCCAGGAAACCTGATAAATGCTTCGTGTTGAGCTGGCCCAGCCGTCACCTCAGCCTCCGTGTCTGATGGGTTTCAATTTTGGTTTCCCCTAAACCAGGCCATTAGATGAAAATGTCTCTGATGGGGGAGTTTGTTTAAACAGTAACTGTCCCCTGGAAGGACATTTTCAGGATGAAGAGCTGACTGCGAAGAGAATGCAATGGCCCCAGGCTCTCCAGGGGTCATAAGTCACTCTGCAGGTTTGAGGAGGAGCCAGGGGCTGGGGCCAAGGGGCTGGGACCCCGGGTTAAGAACCCTGAGGTAAGTTGGCCAGGCGAGCCTGTAATCCCAGCACTTTGGGAGGCCGAGGTGGGCGGATCGCCTGAGGTTGAGAGTTTGAGACCAACCTAACCAATATGGAGAAACCCCAGCTCTACTAAAAATACAAAAATTGGACAGGCATGGTGGTGCATGCCTATAATTCCAGCTACTCAGGAGGCTGAGGCAGGAGAATCACTTGAACCTGAGAGGCAGAGGTTGTGGTGAGCCGAGTCGTGCCATTGCACTCCAGCCTGAGCAACAAGAGCAAGACTCCATCTCAAAAAAAAAAAAGAATCCTGGGGTAAGCTGTTCCTATTCTGCCTCCAGAGGTCACCTCAGTTCTGCTCCCCAGCCTGCTTGGGACAGGCTGGGACTGGTGTGAGTGGCCCCCTTGATGGCTAGGGGACAGAGCCCTGGGAATCTGCCCTTCCCTCGGGCCAGTATGACTCCAGCCTCCAGGAATCCTCCCACCTCTCTGGGACTTTCTCCAGCTTTTGGCTTGGAGTAAGAAGTTCACTAAGGCTAGAGTCCCCTTTCCACAATTCCAAACTCTGAAATGCTCTGAAAGCCACAAGTTTGTCCATAAGTTTTCAGCAACTCAGCTGGCAACAAAACTTGACATCAAAGCTATTCCCTGCAGTGGCCTGGTGCCTTGGCGGGGAAATACTGTCTGCTGCACTGCAGGAAGGCCAGCACGAATTTGCTCTCAAGATACTGCCCCAGGCCTCCTGGGGGTATTGCATACTGTATGGCATTTGCACCATAATATCTTTCTAACTTTCAAGAAGACCTGGCCCCAAGGGTCTCTGATAAGGGCCTTGCACCTGTAATTATCCCATTTGGACCAAAGGCTTTTCAGGGCACATGGAACATTTGTACCTGCACCTCCACCCACCCTGGCACACTGAAGGAGGAGAAAGACTGGCTGGGGCCAAGCAGGCTGAAAGCAGAGAGGGCTGAATCCAAACACAGCTCTGCTAAACCCATTCACCCAGGACTAAGCGGGAGCAGGCACGTGAGGATTTGCGATAGAGGACATTCGGCACCAGCGTGCCGGAGCGGCCTTCGCACGTGCTGCAGGAGCACCCGACAAGAGCAAGGCTGCAGGACAAAGCGTTAGAGCCTAGGCTGGGGTCTCTGTCTCTTCCCACTAGCATGGAGGTCAAGGGAGCTGGGAAGGAGGGGACGCTCGGCAAGTGACTGGGGGATGGGCAGGAGAAGAGCTGCGAGTGGGGTGGGTGAAGGACCCATGGTCCAAGGTCAACTTGAGCTTTTCCAATCGTCTGCTCCAGAGTTCCCTGACCTGAGAGATGATGATTCCTCTTTTCTTCCCCAGCCTCAGTTTCCCCATCTACAGGGCTCCCTGATCTGAGAGATGACACTTCCTCTTTCCTTCCCCAGCCTCAGTTTCCCCACCTATAGGGCTGAAGAGGGAGGGGATATGAGAAAGGAAAAGCAGGGGAAGCTGGAAAACTGCCTCTTCCTTTCCAGTGGCCACAGGGCAGAAGTCGAGGGAAACCAGAGTGAAATTTCTCCTGCCACTGGGCAAAGAGGAGGAAGCAAGGAGAAGGGAGAGATACTGGGATTCAGGACTGGGTCTCATTCCCAGATTGGGGCCCCGAGTGGCAGGCTGGGTGCTCAGTGGGTCACCTCTAAAGCGGTCCTGGTGGTCCACAGGTCCTGGTGGTCCGAGGCAGAGGACCCAGGCACAGGTCCTAACTGTGTCCCTCCCACGCCCTGCCATGGGCTGAGCTTGCTGCCTCAAGCGTTAAGAGTGGCCAGGCAGGCAGGGATAGCTGAGGCTGGAAGGTCAAAGGAGGCCTCCCCTTGAATAAGACCCTAAAAGACAAGCAGGATTTGGAAGAGCGGAGAGACCTAGGAAGGGGGTCTTACTGAGCAGCTGGCCCTCCATGGGGCTGACACTGCCAAGTGTACGGTAAGAATTTACTGTCCAACAAATTGTTGAATGAATGAATGAATGACCCACCTAGAAAGACTCTTTCTCCTCCTGTCTCTCTGGGTCTTCTCCCCATCTCTTTTTTCTTAAGACTCAGGATTTTCCAGCCTCTTTGCCTCGCTGCAATTTAAAACAACTTATCATCTCTCTCTCCACATGTCCAGGGGCTGTCAGCCATGAGTCAAATGTCATTAGGATGGATGTCACAAGCCAGGATGTCAAAATACAATTAACATTTAAAAGCCCCTCCCGCCCAAGACCTCATGGCCGCCTGCTCCTTCAGCTGAGTGGCAGGGCTCTCTCTGGGCGCCAGGGGGAGAAGCCAGGTGACAGGCGCGGGAGGGGTGCAGTCCAG